AGACTATAGACTAGACTATAGACTATAGACTAGGACTATAGGAATATGACTATAGACTAGACTATAGACTATACTATAGACTAGACTATAGACTAGTACTATAGACTAGACTATAGGACTAGACTATAGACTAGGACTATAGACTAGACTATAGACTAGACTATAGACTAGACTATAGACTAGACTATAGACTAGACTATAGACTAGACTATAGACTAGACTATAGACTAGACTATAGACTAGACTATAGACTAGACTATAGACTAGGACTATAGGACTAGACTATAGACTAGACTAGACTATAGGCTGACTATAGACTAGACTATAGACTAGACTATAGACTAGACTATAGACTAGACTATAGACTAGACATAGACTAGACTATAGACTAGACTATAGACTAGACTATAGACAGACTATAGACTAGGACTATAGACTAGACTATAGACTAGACTTAGACTAGACTATAGACTAGACTATAGACTAGACTATAGACTATAGACTATAGACTAGACTATAGACTATAGACTAGACTATAGACTAGACTATAGACTAGACTATAGACTAGACTATAGACTAGACTATACACTAGACTATAGACTAGACTATAGACTAGACTATAGTCTAGTCTATGGTCTAGTCTATAGTCTATAGTCTAGACTATAGTCTAGTCTATAGTCTAGTCTATAGTCTAGTCTATAGTCTAGTCTATAGTCTAGTCTATAGTCTAGTCTATAGTCTAGTCCTATAGTCTAGTCTATAGTCTAGTCTATAGTCTAGTCTATAGTCTATCTATAGTCTAGTCTATAGTCTAATCTATAGTCTAGTCTATAGTCTAGTCTATAGTCTAGTCTATATTCTAGTCTATAGTCTAGTCCTATAGTCTAGTCTAGTTGTCTAGTCTAGTCTAGGCCATGGTTGACGGAAATTACATGGAATCTTATAAAACAGCGTACAGAGAAGAAAAACATAGTAAACTGTGCTAAAACCAGGACTGCAGAAGCTCTAGCCCAACAAGAATAGGCCAGATTAGTACGTCAATTGACGGACTCCACATTCTCTACCATCATACCTTTGATGGATGGCAACTACAGACTAGACTGTAGACTAGACTATAGACAAGACTATAAACTAGAGTATAGACTAAACTATACTACAGACTAGACTATAGACTGGTCTATAGACTAAATATATACTAGACTATAGACTAGACTTTAGACTAAACTATTGTCAAAACCTTATATGGAGTAGACTAACTACGTATAGGCTACGGACTAGATTTTGATTAGTTTATAACTAGACAATTGCAATTAAGAGTATTCGATATTTTGTCAGCGCCGATGTTTTTAGTGCTTGCTTGATACATGTGTTTCATGTAGAGTATGTATGTATAGTGTAAGATGTAAAATACAAATGTGAACGTTAGAAGATAAAAAATGGCATTTAAAATATAATATACAATTAATTAAAAAAAATCACTATCAAAACCATGTACATATCGCAAATAAAAAATAAACTACCTACTTTTATAACAAGCCAGCCTTAAAAACAAAAAATATCAAGCTTATTACACTCTACTTCATTATATTGTAATAATATTATATTAATTATTAAAAAAAGAAAAAAACTTTTAAATGTATTTTAACACCTGTTGTAATGGTTGTAGCTATGGAAACCCAGTCGTGCTCACACACTCACATCAACAGCAGCTAACAAATAAACTGCAAGGATATTATGGTCTTGTACTTGTATAAATTGACAAGAAAATTAAGGTGACTAGAATAAATAAAAAAAAATTGCAACCAATAATATTTTGATTTACCAATATAATAAACCTCTTTATAACACTCATTCTAACAAACACTTTGGTGTTGGCTATAGAATACACGCAGACACCTACACATGAGTCAACATAGACAGGAAAACAAATACATTGATAAGATAACCCTACAGTTTGGTGATGGATGATACTACATAGTGGTTTTTATACCAATTTACAGATTATGTAATACAGTCGATTTATTTGAATTTTTCTATGAACTTTTTTAAAGCGACTACTCCCCACATTACATAGGGATACTAATTTGGAGCCTCATTTTCTTCCGAAATTTCTTGAAAAATATTATCTAAAAGGGACACATTAACTTCCTTTTAACTGTTGTGATGTACGCGAATGCTTTCGAGTCTATATGTATATAGGTGAGAGAGTGTGAGAATTTGAGGTGTAACTGTGCTAATAGAAAATAGCTTAAAGCCGCATAAGAGTTTATATTGCTTCTAAAATATAAAAACAAACAAAAGCGGCAGAAGAGGCTGCGGAGAGAAAAAAAGGAAAGAAAGAAAGGGAGAGAGCAAGAGGAGGGGGGAGGGGGGAGGGGGGGGGGGGCAAGGGGGGGGGGGCGAGAGGGAAAGGGCGGGGGGAGACAAGGGAGGAAAGCAGGGAGGGGGGGGGGAGGGGGGGAGGGGGAGAGAAGAAAGACCGGGAAAAAGGCAGGAAGAGGAAAAAGGGGACGCGAGGGAGGGGGGGGAGGAGGAACAAAACGCACGAACGAAACAACGAACGAACGAACGAACGAACGAACGAACGAACGAACGAAAACGAACGAACGAACGAACGAACGAACGAACGAAACGAACGAACGAACGAACGAACGAAGAACGAACGAACGAACGAAGAACGAACGAACGAACGAACGAACGAAGAACGAACGAACGAACGAACGAACGAACGAACAAAACGAACGAACGAACGAACGAAGAACGAACGAACAACGAACGAAACGAACGAACGAACGAACGAACGAACGAAACGAACGAAAGAACGAACGAACGAAACGAACGAACGAACGAAACGAACGAACGAACGAACGAACGAACGAACGAACGAACGAACGAACGAACGAACGAACGAAAGAAAACGAACAACGAACGAACGAACGAACGAACGAACGAAACGAACGAACGAACGAACGAACGAACGAAACGAACGAACGAACGAAACGAACGAACGAAAACGAACGAACGAAACGAACGAACGAACGAACGAACGAACGAACGAACGAACGAACGAACGAAACGAACGAACGAACGAACGAACGAACGAACGAACGAACGAACGAACGAACGAAAACGAACGAACGAACGAACGAACGAACGAAAGAACGAACGAACGAAACGAACGAACAACGAACGAACGAACGAACGAAACGAACGAACGAACGAACGAAGAACGAACGAACGAACGAAGAACGAAAACGAACGAACGAACGAAGAACGAACGAACGAACGAACGAACGAACGAACGAACGAACGAACGAAGAAACGAACGAACGAACGAACGAACGAACGAAAGAACGAACGAACGAACGAACGAACGACGAAAGAACGAACGAACGAACGAACGAACGAACGAACGAAACGAACGAACGAACGAACGAACGAACGAACGAACGAAAACGAACGAACGAACAACGAACGAACGAAGAACGAACGAAACGAACGAACGAACGAACGAACGAACGAACGAACGAACGAACGAACGAACGAACGAAAACAAGAACGAAACGAACGAACGAACGAACGAACGAACGAACGAACGAACGAACGAACGAACGAACGAACGAACGAACGAACGAACGAACGAACGAACGAAGAACGAACGAACGAACGAACGAACGAACGAAAACGAACGAACGAAAACGAACGAACGAAACGAACGAACGAACGAACGAACGAAACGAACGAAACGAACGAAACGAACGAACGAACGAACGAACGAACGAACGAACGAACGAACGAACGAACGAACGAACGAACGAACGAACGAACGAACGAACGAACGAAACGAACGAAACGAACGAACGAACGAAAAGAACGAACGAACAACGAACGAACGAACGAACGAACGAACAACGAACGAACGAACGAACTAACGAACGAACGAACAACGAACGAACGAACGAACGAACGAACGAACGAAACGAACGAACGAAAACGAACGAACGAACGAACAACGAACGAACGAACGAACGAACGAACGAACGAACGAACGAAACGAACGAACGAACGAACGAACGAACGAACGAACGAACGAAACTAACGAAGAACGAACGAACGAACGAACGAAGAACGAACGAACGAACGAACGAAAAACGAACGAACGAACGAACGAACGAACGAAACGAACGAACGAACGAACGAACGAACGACGAACGAACGAACGAACAAAGAACGAACGAACGAACGACGAACGAACGAACGAACGAAAACGAACGAACGAACGAACGAAACGAACGAAACGAACGAACGAACGAACGAACGAACGAAACGAACGAACGAACGAACGAAACGAACGAACGAACTAACGACGAACGAACGAACGAACGAACGAACGAACGAAACGAACGAACGAACGAACGAACGAACTAACGAACGAACGAACGAACGAACGAACAAAGAACTAACGAACGAAACTAACAACGAACGAACGAACTAACGAACGAACGAACGAAACGAAGAACGAACGAAAAACTAACGAAATAACGAAATAACGAACTAACGAATAACTAACTAACGAACTAACTAACGAACTAACTAACGAATAACTAAAACTAACGAACTAACGAACTAACTAACTAACTAACTAACTACTAACTAACTAACTAACTAACTACTAACTAACTAACTAACTAACTAACTAACTAACGAACTAACTAACTAACTAACAAAAAGAACTAACTAACTAACTAACACTAACTAACTAACTAACTAACTAACTAACTAACTAATAATGTTTCATAATATTCCATAACAAATGTTCTAAAAAGCTGTTGATTTTCTTCAGTGTATACTATACGTATATTTATAAGTTTGACTGTAAGTATGTCTATCCGTATCTGAGAGAGTGTACATGCGGTTTTATGTATATACTCTATGTTGTTGGTACGTGTTTGAAATATATTATAAACACAAACTCAACATGACGTTATTGTTGATGATATACTCTTACTGCTGCTGCTGATGTTGTTGTGTTTGTTATTGTTCGGTAGGTCGGTTGGTCGTTGCTGTCGTTGTTCGATGTTGTTTTTGTTGCTATTTGTTTTGCTTAAAGTATCTATAGAATACGTAGAGAATTTTGGTCAGTAGTAGTATGTTTTATATGGCAAACGTTTTAGACTACCGTCAGTTGTCGAACAAACCCTTGTGCAAAAACGTTCGTTAAAAAAAATAAATAAAAAATTAAGAAACAAAAAGAAAACTCTTGAGAGAAATATTGCAAAAAAGCACAGACATAATATAAAAAGTTCTTACCTACACATTCTAAAAAGATACAAAAAAAAAACTTAAATAAAATTTACTTTTCGACAATTGAATTGTTTTGTGTGTATTTGATTTGCTTTTTGTTTGTAAATAAAATTTTCTACCTACAAATTCAACCACTTTTAGAACATGTGAGAAAAATTTCTAGTTTCTATTAAGAGACACAAATTATTAAGTTTCAACAAGTGCTTTAATAACACAAAATTCCCAAACAATTGTAAGAAAAAATTGAATCTTTTAGAACAACAGAACAAAAGCTAAGCAAAAAAGTGACAAGTGTTGTTATATATTTATTTTTCATTTCATACATAGCCTGTCTACAAGTAAAACGTGAAGAAAAAAATCAAACTCACATTTATTGATTTTATTTCCATTTCGTGTAGATTTTGTGGTTTGTTACCCTAGGGCGTATACGTACTTTTTTTGCTCTTCATATTTGTGTAATATTTGGTATTTGTTTATGTTTAAACCCACCACGCGCCTACTCGTGCCACAACGCTTTAACTCTATGAACAATTTTTATGTTGGAAATATTTAAGCATTAAGTAAATTCTTGTGTTTTGGCTGAAATTTAAGTTTCTCCAACATGTCGTTTGATATACCAATCGCTGAACAAATGCGTATAGCATTAAGGTAAGTGTGTAATAATACGGTAATTATAGAGAATTAGTGTCAAATGTAAAGAAAATTATTGATTATGTGCGTGTGGCATTTAACCGCCAATTTTATGTTTTGAAAACCCTTAATAATTTCCAGAAAAAGTGATGATGATGAGGGTCTTTGAGAAATATTTTGTCATAGGATTTGTAACGTTATTTTATTGTTATTGTATTTTGCGGGATATAAAAAACAGAATTTAATGATTAGTGCTAAATAGTGTTGAAAAAAAAACTAGACTATTGACTATAGATTAGAGTATATTTAGATTGGACTAGACTAAATAATACTTATATACTATTGACTAGACTAGACTAGACTAGACTAGACTAGACTAGACTAGACTAGACTAGACTAGACAAGACTAGACTAGACTAGACTAGACTAGACTAGACTAGACTAGACTACACTAGACTAGACTATAGACTGGACGTAGATTGGACTATAGACTATATAAAATGTACTGTCGACTAGGCAATAGACTAGGATATAGACTAGTCTATAGACTAGACTATAGACTAGACTATAGACTAGACTATATACTACACTATATACTAGACCATATTACTAGACTATATACTAGACCATATACTAGACTATAGACTAGACTAGACCAAACTATAGACTAGACTAGACTAGACTATAAAACTAGACTATAGACTAGACTATAGACTAGACTATAGACTAGACTATAGACTAGACTATAGACTAGACTATAGACTAGACTATAGACTAGACTATAGACTAGACTATAGACTAGACTATAGACTAGACTATAGACTAGACTATAGACTAGACTATAGACTAGACTATAGACTAGACTATAGACTAGACTATAGACTAGACTATAGACTAGACTATAGACTAGACTATAGACTAGACTATAGACTAGACTATAGACTAGACTATAGACTAGACTATAGACTAGACTATAGACTAGACTATAGACTAGACTATAGACTAGACTATAGACTAGACTATAGACTAGACTATAGACTAGACTATAGACTAGACTATAGACTAGACTATAGACTAGACTATAGACTAGACTATAGACTAGACTATAGATTAGACTATAGACTAGACTATAGACTAGACTATAGACTAGACTATAGACTAGACTATAGACTAGACTATAGACTAGAATATAGACTAGACTATAGACTAGACTATAGACTAGACTATAGACTAGACTATAGACTAGACTATAGACTAGACTATAGACTAGACTATAGACTAGACTATAGACTAGACTATAGACTAGACTATAGACTAGACTATAGACTAGACTATAGACTATACTAGACTATATACTAGACTATAGACTAGACTATAGACTAGACTATAGACTAGACTATAGACTAGACTATAGATAGACTATAGACTAGACTGTAGGAAAGACTATAGACTAGACTATAGACTAGACTATAGACTAGACTATAGACTAGACTATAGACTAGACTATAGACTAGACTATAGACTAGACTATAGACTAGACTATAGACTAGACTATAGACTAGACTATAGACTAGACTATAGACTAGACTATAGACTAGACTATAGACTAGACTATGGACTAGACTATAGACTAGACTATAGGCTAGACTATAGACTAGACTGTAGACTAGACTATAGACTAGACTATGGACTAGACTATAGACTAGACTATAGGCTAGACTATAGACTAGACTATAGACTAGACTATAGACTAGACTATAGACTAGACTATAGACTAGACTATAGACTAGACTATAGACTAGACTATAGACTAGACTATAGACTAGACTATAGACTAGACTATAGACTAGACTATAGACTAGACTATAGACTAGACTATAGACTAGACTATAGACTAGACTATAGACTAGACTATAGACTAGACTATAGACTAGACTATAGACTAGACTATAGACTAGACTATAGACTAGACTATAGACTAGATTATAGACTAGACTAGACTAGACTAGACTAGACTATAGACTAGACTATAGACTAGACTATAGACTAGACTATAGACTAGACTATAGACTAGACTATAGACTAGACTATAGACTAGACTATAGACTAGACTATAGACTAGACTATAGACTAGACTATAGACTAGACTATAGACTAGACTATAGACTAGACTATAGACTAGACTATAGACTAGACTATAGACTAGACTATAGACTATACTATAGACTAGACTATAGACTAGACTATAGACTAGACTATAGACTAGACTATAGACTAGACTATAGACTAGACTATAGACTAGACTATAGACTAGACTATAGACTAGACTATAGACTAGACTATAGACTAGACTATAGACTAGACTATAGACTAGACTATAGACTAGACTATAGACTAGACTATAGACTAGACTATAGACTAGACTATAGACTAGACTATAGACTAGACTATAGACTAGACTATAGACTAGACTATAGACTAGACTATAGACTAGACTATAGACTAGACTATAGACTAGACTATAGACTAGACTATAGACTAGACTATAGACTAGACTATAGACTAGACTATAGACTAGACTATAGACTAGACTATAGACTAGACTATAGACTAGACTATAGACTAGACTATAGACTAGACTATAGACTAGACTATAGACTAGACTATAGACTAGACTATAGACTAGACTATAGACTAGACTATAGACTAGACTATAGACTAGACTATAGACTAGACTATAGACTAGACTATAGACTAGACTATAGACTAGACTATAGACTAGACTATAGACTAGACTATAGACTAGACTATAGACTAGACTATAGACTAGACTATAGACTAGACTATAGACTAGACTATAGACTAGACTATAGACTAGACTATAGACTAGACTATAGACTAGACTATAGACTAGACTATAGACTAGACTATAGACTAGACTATAGACTAGACTATAGACTAGACTATAGACTAGACTATAGACTAGATTATAGACTAGATTATAGACTAGACTAGACTAGACTAGACTAGACTATAGACTAGACTATAGACTAGACTATAGACTAGACTATAGACTAGACTATAGACTAGACTATAGACTAGACTATAGACTAGACTATAGACTAGACTATAGACTAGACTATAGACTAGACTATAGACTAGACTATAGACTAGACTATAGACTAGACTATAGACTAGACTATAGACTAGACTATAGACTAGACTATAGACTAGACTATAGACTAGACTATAGACTAGACTATAGACTAGACTATAGACTAACTATAGACTAGACTATAGACTAGACTATAGACTAGACTATAGACTAGACTATAGACTAGACTATAGACTAGACTATAGACTAGACTATAGACTAGACTATAGACTAGACTATAGACTAGACTATAGACTAGACTATAGACTAGACTATAGACTAGACTATAGACTAGACTATAGACTAGACTATAGACTAGACTATAGACTAGACTATAGACTAGACTATAGACTAGACTATAGACTAGACTATAGACTAGACTATAGACTAGACTATAGACTAGACTATAGACTAGACTATAGACTAGACTATAGACTAGACTATAGACTAGACTATAGACTAGACTATAGACTAGACTATAGACTAGACTATAGACTAGACTATAGACTAGACTATAGACTAGACTATAGACTAGACTATAGACTAGACTATAGACTAGACTATAGACTAGACTATAGACTAGACTATAGACTAGACTATAGACTAGACTATAGACTAGACTATAGACTAGACTATAGACTAGACTATAGACTAGACTATAGACTAGACTATAGACTAGACTATAGACTAGACTATAGACTAGACTATAGACTAGACTATAGACTAGACTATAGACTAGACTATAGACTAGACTATAGACTAGACTATAGACTAGACTATAGACTAGACTATAGACTAGACTATAGACTAGACTATAGACTAGACTATAGACTAGACTATAGACTAGACTATAGACTAGACTATAGACTAGACTATAGACTAGACTATAGACTAGACTATAGACTAGACTATAGACTAGACTATAGACTAGACTATAGACTAGACTATAGACTAGACTATAGACTAGACTATAGACTAGACTATAGACTAGACTATAGACTAGACTATAGACTAGACTATAGACTAGACTATAGACTAGACTATAGACTAGACTATAGACTAGACTATAGACTAGACTATAGACTAGACTATAGACTAGACTATAGACTAGACTATAGACTAGACTAGACTAGACTATAGACTAGACTATAGACTAGACTATAGACTAGACTATAGACTAGACTATAGACTAGACTATAGACTAGACTATAGACTAGACTATAGACTAGACTATAGACGACTATAGGCTAGACTATAGACTAGACTATAGACTAGACTATAGACTAGACTATAGACTAGACTATAGACTAGACTATAGACTAGACTATAGACTAGACTATAGACTAGACTATAGACTAGACTATAGACTAGACTATAGACTAGACTATAGACTAGACTATAACTAGACTATAGACTAGACTATAGACTAGACTATAGACTAGACTATAGACTAGACTATAGACTAGACTATAGACTAGACTATAGACTAGACTATAGACTAGATTATAGACTAGATTATAGACTAGATTATAGACTAGACTATAGACTATACTATAGGGTAGACTATAGACTAGATTATAGACTAGACCAGACTATAAACTAGACTATAGACTAGACTATAAACTAGACTTTAGATTAGAATTTAGAATGTATAATGTATTACTATTGACTAGTCCTTACTATTGAATAGACTAGAATAAAGTCTCATTATTATACAAAACATCATTACTTTTGTAGTAGTCTTCGAGTTTTATCAAATTTCTGCCACTAAGTACTTATTTCATTAAAAATGTCAGCATTGTAAATACATTTAAGTAGCTACTGACATAGTTCAACCAACTAACAGTCATTTTCTCGACAGTAC